TCTGTATGAAACGCTTGTCTTTAATTAAAAATAGAGAATTTATAGAAGCAGCTTCAGCTGCTTCCTTGAAAAGAAAAATGACAATTATTAAACATGTGTAAGCTATGTAAAACATGTTAATTCTTTATTTTTAATAAATCATTTTATACAGATATGAAATAAGCTGTTATTAAACAATAAATTCAATATTTTCGGCTTGTGACAACCAGTTAAGAAAACCTAACAGATTTTTTACATTTATTTCACAATTTTCTTCATGCAGTGTGTGGGTCTCAATTTTTAAGATTTCAGACGTATGTCATGTATTGCATTAAACGCATGTGGGCTTTAAAGCCCTTTTATAATCATTGTATTCCAAAGTGCTGAATAAATATAATTTATTATCCACATTTTGTGTTGTGAAGTTTGTTTTTTATAATTATCACATGAATTTTTACTTTTTTTTTTCAAAATAAAGCCACACAGGTCTGCATTTCTGCAGAAAGGATCTCCAACACTTTCATCAAATAATTCTGTTATTGATGACATAAAATCATCAATAACAAAATCGTCACTAACAGATCCTTCAGGCAAAGTTCGACTTGTGCATATTAGTGGGCGCTTTAATAGTTTTCTGCCGACTTCCAAAAAGGAGCCGGTACTCAATTCGACTGTATGTTTTCTTTTTTTTCGTTTTTTTTTTTTTATGTGTGTTACCTCAGAACTTTTTTCTGGGTGAACCGATTTCGATGATTCTTTTTTTATTTGAAAGCTGGTACTTCTCGTGTGGTCCCATATGAATTTGATCAAGGTCAGACCAATAGTTTTTAAGTTATTCTTAAATAACTTATATTGAAGTCGGCTGTACAAAATTTTTAATTTTAAATTATTTGAAATTTTATACGCTTTACAATTTCCTTTCGATGAGTTATTTAATTTTGAAAAAAATGGCTAATGTTTTTGGGTTTTTTTTGTTAAATTAGAATACAAAAATGTGTTATACCATTCATAGTCCATAGCTAACCCATTATAGAAGGGGTGGAACTCTCTGGCATCCTATGAATATTAAAGTTTTGAAGAATCTTCTCATTTCAAACTTCCCAATGTAAAGGTCTTCGATATGTTTGTTAATTAAAAAAAAGAGAATTTACAGAATGAGCTTCAGCTGCTTCTGGAGCCCCCATATATCTAAACTAGCAAGCAGACTTAGTTCTGCAGCATTTGCTGTAAACAAGGTTAGAAATCTTACCAGTGTTGAAACAGCTAGACTAGTTTACTTTAGCTATTTCCATAGCATAATGTCGTATGGTATTTTGCTGTGGGGACACTCAGCTGAAATTATATTTGTTTTACAGAAGATGGCTATAAGAGCAATTTATAATTTAAAGCCTAAAGAGTCGCTGCGACAAATATTTAAGAAAATTAATATATTAATTTTGGCCTTTCAATACATTTATGAAAATGTAATGTACGTACACAAAAATAAAAGTAGTTTTACAAACATAAGTGATATTCATTCTGTAAATACTAGGAACAGACACAAGCTAATAGTACCAGTTACTCTACTCCACCGAGTCAGTAATTCATTCTTGGGGCGAATTATACGCTTTTACAAAAAAATTCCAGAAAATATACAAAATTTGACTTGCTCAAAGTTCAAAAACTTTATTAAACTAAGTTTGTATAAAAAGGGTTATTATAAAGTTAAGGAATTTATGGATGATAATAACCCCTGGGAATGAGGTGATCGCTACCAAGCTATTTCTAATTTGTTGTGTTGTTAATTGTGTAACATACATGATTGTAAGCTATTTAAAAAAACCCGCTGGGTTTCTTGCTGGTTCTTCCCAGGACAGAGGTTTTTTTTCGAACCAGTGGTAATTAAACAAAAGAGTGATTTTCAATAAGTATTATATATAATCTATATTGAATAAACAAGTTTCTGTTTCTGTTTCAAATTGTCGACATTTTTATATTTAAATTGAGTATATATTATTATAGTTATTTTCTATGTGAAAATTGCAAGAAGTTTGCATAATTTAAACATTGTTTTATAACATATTAAATTACGCCGTAAACTGTAATTCCAATATGCCAACTTATTTGAATTTAAAACATTTTTGTATAGTTTAGTTATGTTTTTTTTTTCCGTATCTTTTTTTATGGAGAAATTAATTTGTAAACATAAATTAAGATTTACTATACTTGCAATCCAAACTTATTAGTTTGGATTCGTGATGTCCCAGGCACTACAGCGTCTAGAATAGCTGTTGTAAAATTATTGACGCTGTATAAATCATCTTTAGATGTAAAGGCCAATTTTTCTATTAAAACAAAATTCAAATTGTCGACATATTTTATATTTTATTTAAATTGATTACATATTATTGTAGTTATTTTCTGTGTGAATATTGTAAGAATTTTGCATAATTTAAACATGTTTCATTAAATATTAAGTTACGCTCACAGAATACTTTACTGTTATGCTACACCTGTAATTCCAATATACTAACTTAAATGAATTTAAAACAATTTAATAGGCTAATTATATTTGTTTTTTTTTTCTATATCTTTTGTTATGAATAAATGAATTTGTAAGCATAAATTATATTTTACTATAACTTGTATTCCTCGTCAGAAATACATAACTGTGACCGATTCTGGTTTTTCCAAGATTTATTCTATTAGGAAATATGTTTCTAAAATAATTAATTATTATAATTCTAGAGATAAATTTATAGAAATAATGTTTAATGATAGAAACATATTTTTTAATAGAATAAATCTTGGAAAAACCAGATCGATGAAAAAAATTTAATTTCTGCGATTCGAATTTTCCCGCTCAAATTTGTTGTATGTGCTCCAACGGTAGATGGCGCTGAATTTTGTTCCTATCCATTTTATATGGAGTTAACATTCTTCTCCGCTAGGAGTAAAGTATTCTGTGCTTGCGGCATATAAGAAGGGCGTTTTGGTCTGTGAGTCGTTCATTTCACTTCGGAAGCGGCAAGAGAAGAAATCAGTAAGAAATCAAGACTCCAGAAGACTCCAGAAGACTCCCCTCTGTACATAGGATAGTTTATAGTGATATTTTGTAAATAAGTGAATACAGTATAGTTTTCTTAGTACCATCTTTTCTTTGAGCAGTCCCCTAGCGTAGTCAGTTTAATACAGTCCACTCGCCATAGTAAAATCATACAGTCCACTGCGATCCACAACATTACTTATGCTGGCTGACATTATCCTCACCCCAATGATTGATGAGGATGAAAAAAAAACATGTCTGTTTTTATTTTTATTCAATTTTATTTCTACATAGGTAATTATATTTATTTATACATAAGGGTTATAATAAAAGTAATACAAAAATCAACAAGAAATATAAGGGTTATAGGTAAAGTGACCATACGTCCCGTTTTAAACGGGACTGTCCCTTTTCTCGGTCACCTGTCCCATTATCCCCAAACAAAGCTCCTGGACACAAAATTGTCCCGTTTTCCGAAACCGTGCTAAAATTTATATCTATGAAGTTTGTCAGACGTCACGTCAGTGCGAGAGCGGGACCGACCAAAAATAACCAAATGGGATAATTTAAAAGTTTCCCCAAAAACTCGTTGGATGGAAGTATTCAAAGTATTTCGCACCAACAATCTTCAACATAATTTTTTAATCGAATATATTTTATGTCTGCCTGGTACAAATGCTCCAGTAGAAAGAGTAATTTTCTATTTTGAATAAATTGTGGACGTATAAAAAAAAACACTTACGGTTCCAGTTCTAAAGGCGATGCTGTTAACAAAGGTAACAATAAAAAGAAACTTGCCCAGAATTTTATTCTTATTTAAAATCATCACCAACTTTATCAAAGCAAATTTGTTCCACTGACAAATGTTATTAATAATTTAAAAAAATATGTTGATAATTACCGTCTATATATAATTTTATATATAATTTTATAGTGAACACTAATTGTATAAAGTTATAGTTTTTAGAGTGTAAATAAACCCATGTCCCGTTTTGAGTTAAAAAATAAATGGTTAGTTTAGTTATAGGCGTTTTTGGGTTGTAATTGTGATGCCCGGGTAGGTATTAGTACTTACTTAGTAAAAGTATGTAACTATTTAGATAAGTACCATTTATCTAATCATAATACCTACGTAGGTACCTATTGTAATTAGTTATACTGGGTAGGTATATTAATACCTACTTAGATACTTTTTACCGAATTACTATATCTACTAAGATATTGTGGTTAGGTATTAGGATTATTTTTAACTGTATACTATACTGCTAATATTGAATTAGCTTTTTATAGTGTAAATTATAATATTTGTCGAAATGTTAACTATGCATACGAACCTAACATGCTTCATTTTTTTATTTGCATTTACTTCAAAGAAAATACGCGCAAAAAGATTCATCGCGCAGTAAAAAACACAACAAATATATGTATAACTAATACGAAAAATTAGCGGTAGAATCTACTAGTTAGTCTGTGGATAAAACATATTATATACTAGCTGTTCCCCGCGACTTTGCTCGCGTGTTAGGGTTTTTATGTTTTTACGCGGAACCTTAATTCTTTTTCTAAAATAAAAGTAGCCTAAGTTACTCCTTATGAAATCAGCTATCTGCCAGTAAAAGTCCCGTTAAAATTGGTCCAGCCGTTTCGGAGATTAGCCGGAACAAACAGACAGACAGACAAAAATTTTTAAAACTGTATTTTAGTTATAAGTACCGTATTTACTTTCATATGCATTTAGTAAAAAACTGTAATTTTGACATTACAAACAGACACTTCAATTTTATTTATTTGTATAGATTTTGTAAAACAAAAACAAATTCCAAAAAATATATATTTATTTTTTAGCTGTCAATGTCAAACTGGCAATAAGACAATATTTTTCTATTGGTCAATTATTGTCAAACGTCAAGTCAAAGTCAAAGAAGAAGTGAAATAAATGATATGGTGAACTGGCAGTCTAATATATATTAGAAAAGATTTTTTCTAAACCGGGAAAATGTCGCAAACGGCAGGTGTAAAGCCCATGACCATTGTTGGTCGAGTGGCATCTGAAAGAGAAAGATGTCTAGGAATGACTGATGCTGAAAGGGCTTGGCGTAAGCAATGGTTAAAAGACCAAGTTTTAGCTCCTAACGAGCCTGTTTATGTTGAAGAATATTGGAAAGAGCGTATTAACCCTATTCGTCGTTTTTACCGTAAGCCTTTGGATGTTATATACAACGCTCTTACACCAGTGCTGGTAAGATTACATAATAACCTAAACATTGTCAATATAGATAATACTTAGGTTACCCGATAGTTTTAGTTTTCTTATTATCACCAATAAGCCTTAAACTTTTATTTCTACAGGGAGCTCAGCGTGCCGCAGATTATAGATATATCACTGGAAAACTTGGAATTATTGCTTTTGGAATATTGGGTGTACATTATTACTTTAAATACAACGGTAATGTAAGTATCCACAGATAACTCATTAAGATAATATATGATATGTTATGAATGCTAAAAAGATTTTAATCTATTATCAATCAACATACAGTTTGGGTTTTGACTAAAAATCATAAAACTAGAACCATTCACCTAATATGGGACCTCCACAAGTTCAAAAATACAACCCTGCATAGGTTTCAAAGAAGAGTTATTAAATAAAAACTTATCAGTCATTATAGTTCTTCAAAAGTCCTCTGTTGACCAATTAATTAAATGTATGGGTTATAGAACCCTGAATGACAGTGAAAGTGACTGGTGCATCAGGGAACTCAATATCATGGCGTGCCTGCATTGTCTCTCCCACTAATTTAATATTGCAACAAGAATTTTAATTGAGTCTTGTAGACACATGGTTTCCACCTGTACAACATTAAGTTCATCAGGTTTGGCATCTGGTTCAAGCAATGCTTGGTGGATTAATAACTTATTACTGAACAGGTATTCTGCCTTCTCTTCCGGGTCCCATCTCTCTGACTGATGTGATGATGATGATCGTCCGACTTGATTTCACTAATTTAATGAGATTTTGCAACATATACATGTGCAATGCCGGTGCATACAAATCTCCACCATAGATGGACATAGGCCTCCCCTAAAGAATATCAAACAGCTGCATCCATCAGTGGCATAGGGAAGTAAGTAAACCAGGAGATAGGCAGCAGTGTTATCTTAATAATAACTAAATCATATAAAACTGGTTACTGACCTGTCTGCCATGTGTGACAATGAAATGAAATGATTAGGTATACCTACCAATTATCCAACTGCAGAGAGGGTGACGTTATATCCTGAAACTCTACAGTGCTGTATACAAAAGTCTAGAGGTGACCATTATTGCGCATGAGTCGAAAATAAGATATCATAGGGTAGTAAGTGGGTCGCGGGATGGGCATGTGTCGTTCGCTAGCGCTGATTGGCTCTCCAGTCGCATTTGTGCAATTCAATTCGTGCGTGACATTACCCATGCTCAGCTATCCCCTCCACATTTCGTTCAGCGCTAGACTTACGTGCCGCGACTTCTAACATCAATGGTGTGTCCTCACTCACCTTCGATTTGCCGATGATATAGTCCTTATGGCAGAATCGCTGGAGGACCTAAGCACTATGCTCAATGACCTCAATAGGTGCATCCCAACGGATAGGTCTTAAATGAACATGGACAAAACAAAGATCATGTATAAAGTCCATGTCACACCTATGCCAGTAGTTGGTGGGAGTACTAAACTCGAAGTTGTTGACGAGTATGTATGTATGTATTTACCTGGGCCAAATAGCCCGACTAGGTCTCTAAGTCCAACTTCGACCGAGAGGTTAATCGACAGATTCAACTCGGCTGGGCAATGTTCAATAAATCTTCTCATCAGGTATACCTTAAAACTTGAAAACGAAAATGTACAACCAGTGCATGTTACCAGACTGTGTCGTTGAGGACTAGTTTCAGCAGCACTTATGTTATGCTGTAATGATAATAATGACAAATTGACTATGTAATTCAATTCAAATTAATTAATAAAATTAATAAGCTTACATATATGATATAGTGTAAAAAATTAGGATAAGTAAGATTGATATTCAAGTTTTTTGTATGGTTCCCTTTTGAGTGGAAGCCTCCTCCAACTCTTTCCAACATTATATGTTGTGAGCGACATTTATCCACATTTTTCCCGCAATTTTTACTAAATTGTCAACCCACCTTTGAACACCCACCCACAACCAACCTATGCTTATTTTTTCATTTTGTTGTTTTTATAAGGTCAGTTCTGTTATCCGGATACATATTCTACTTCTATATATTTTAGATTTCATTTAAGTTTTACATGTTTAAGTGCATCTGTGAGTTTTGTCTTGCTTTGTATGTTATGGTTTCTTGTTTTATGTAATCTTCACAGCTTTAGGCAATACTTTCCAATCAATGCATACCCACATTTGACATGCATATGATAAGTAGGATAGTACACAAATATATAATTTCAGACTATAATTTACTTTCAAGATTTCCTTTTGTGTCCAATAGCTTTTCCATGTTATATTTATTCTTCTATTTGATTGCATTTTCATCGCTGTATACTTCGACAGACAGTAGTTTTCCTACATACATGTTGTGCACCTAGGAAAACTAGTGTCTTACATATTCTATCAGCTTTCCTTCTATTTTGATATGGATATCATCGAACATTTCTTTGGTTTTCATGGCATTAATTTGTAGTCCTAGCCTTTAATTTTCTTTATCTAGTAGTAATTCAATAATTCCTTCTAATCTAGAAATACAATAAGTTAGTAGAAATACTAGAAGTTTCACTAAAAATAGTTCTTTCACTCTTTATTTCTCCAATCTATATTTTTGAATAGGTCTTTAAGTATTGTTTTGCGAAATATTGGATTGGATCCCCTAGTCTTTTATGCTCCCTATAGGAAATTTTATTATTTCCTGTTTTTATTTTACTGACACTTTTGGAGTCTATGTTCTTATTTATTTATTTTTAAGTGCTTTCCATATAGACCTGTGTGTTACTTGAAAGTTGTGTACTTTTGAATAGACTGCTAATGCATGAATATTATTGAGCAGTCAGGATATGGATATGGCTTGTTGCCCAACTGGCTGATTGTTATCAATTTTTGGTGATATTTGAAAACAGCTTGTTTATTGAGAACAACAAGCAGGCCTGTGATTACCAATAATAACAAGAAGATTTCCTAGATTATATATATATACATTAATACTGTATTTGATTTGCACCCTTGCTTGAGTTTTGATTCCATTAGCATTTTAAAAAGTTAAGTCAGGTATGTAGCCAGAAAAGGTGCACCAATGTTGAAAAGGCTTCACACGTTATATTTTGATATACTTAGGTCATAAGTTCTGTCAAAAACTTTTTATAAAATTAATGATAGACTTTTTGCTAATTATATAGAAATTATATATGAAATGAAGGGTAGTTTAATTTAGAATACAATTTTATTTACATTATTCAAAATGCTCTCCGCTATTTTGAACACATGCCCTTAATCTACGCGGCCAATCATCAATCACAGCACACACCACATTCATATCTATTTCTGCCGCTGCTTTAGCCAAAGATGCTTGGAGAGATTCCAAAGTTTGATGAAGTTTAGCGCAGATTTTCTCCTCCAAATGTTGCCATATCTTTTAATCCAGAGGGTTTAAATCTGGACTAGAAGAGGGCCAGTCTTCATGTCCGATAAAGTCAATTCCACGGGCGGTCAACCAGGTTGTCGTGCTTCGTGTCCTATGAGCTGGTGCAGACTCCTGTTGGAATGTCCAATGGTTATTTGAGAAAGAGGTTCCACTATGTTTGTTAGGACGGTATTTTGTTATACCTCAGCAATGGTTTTTACACCTTTCACAGAAAAACACCTCAGTTAAGCCTGAATATGAGACTCCAAGCCAAACCATGAGTGACAAAGGATAATTTCCTCGTTGAACCCTAGGAATACGCGTGCTGTCTTATTCACTGCTGTGGACATACACCTTATCATTTTGTTTATTATAACTTTCTTTGATGTTAAAAAAATTTTCATCCGAAAACAAAATTTCGCAGTATTTTTTTCCCGCGTACCGCCGTAATAAAGCGCGGGATCTATCCAGCCTAAATTTTTTCAAATGTTCGTTCTAAAAGTGTCCGGTTTTCCTACGAAAAGCTCGTAGTCCTAGGCCTTCATTGATCACTCTTTTGACCGTGGTTCTGCTTTGGCCTATCTGAAGAGCTAAGATTTTTTGTTTACGAACAAAATTTCGTGTCGGATTCGCGCCTTCACTGCCTTGATGATCGCGAGTGACCTAACTGTACGAGGTCGGCCGGTCCTCTTACGATCTTCGAAGCTTGAATCTTCATTGAATCGTTTGATAGTGCGATAAATAAATCGTAGGGTTATTTTAAATTTTTGTAGGATATTGAAAATCCCTTTTGGTGCGTAACCACAGCGGTGCAACGCGATAACCGCTACTCTATCTTCTATCTTCGACCACTCCGTATTTGAAAATAAACGAAAATTAATGTCTTTTTTATTTTCTGCAAGCGCAAACGTTAAATTTTTAAAATTGGTGAAGTTCATCTAGCCAGTATTCAAAAATTTTAAATAATAAGGTTTTGACAGCACTTATGACCTGACTAAGTATAAAAATCCTGTGTCACAAAGTTGATTTATGCTAATCTCCAAAACCGCTTAACCTATTTGATTGAAATATTGTAAATGTGTATTGACCAACTTGAGAAAAAGGCTTAGTTGTAAATTAAAAAAAAAAACACATCTACGACATCTAAACTAAATTGGCACCATCTGGTAGTATTCAAAAGAAGACTGAATAACCATCTCATATTTATATAGTTCATTTCTCTACTATTAAAACATTACATATGTATTGAACTAAATTATAGTGAAACTTTTCATTAATTTTATACAATTTTCAATATAATTCACATAAAATGAATAGCAAGGCAATTTTATTTAATACTCCTACTACTAATTAGACCTATAATCACACTTATTTGGATTAGAGACCATCCATGGATGTGTCATACACAAAACAAACAAAATCGAAACCCAACTCTTTCTTCCTTCTCTCGGTTTTGAAGCTCCCTGGCGAGACAGTCACCCAGCATATCAGTCAAGCTCAGTCAGAGGCATTTATGATGGCTGGCATTTGTATGAATACTAAGTGTTTGCCCAGACAGATATTTTTGAGCAAAAATGCTTTCATTAAGATCTCTTCTGCATTTCAAGGACTGTGTGAAATATGGCTCATTATAATAAGGCAAGGTATAGTTCTTGGCTGTCAATTGTGCAGAGTCCAATTAAGCTGTAAAAGCCAAAAAGGCTAACAACACTAACGTAACAGAAACTAGATGTCAATTGTGCGAATAAGTGCACTAGTGTTCTAACACCATCTGAAACAAAACACAAATGTCGAAAATGGTAACCCCGTATTGGGCTCTAGCTTAAAGCGTTTGTGCCTCTGACAAGGAGCGGCTTAGTCGGCTCTCAAAGATGTAAAGGCTTTAAAAGGAATAAATATAATTACGATTTTTCTACAAACTGTTTTTATTGTTTTCAGAACTGGACTAAGAAAGGAGGTTGGAGGGTGTCAAAAACAAAGCCAATGGTCCTGCCAGGGCAGCCTGGATTTCCATTTAAATCGGAACGCACTCTTGACTCTGATTATGCTAACAGAGGATTTAAATCATCCCCTATTTAAATCTTGATTAATCTATTATAAAAATAAGATTGTTATTGTAGTAACTGTTTAACCTCAAAAATGGTTTGTAAAAAGCTGTAGCTAATAATAATAAATTATAAAATTGAAAATATCTACAATGCTGTATCAATCAAAAATAGTATGGAAAATCCAAGTGCATGTCTCATGAGCGTTTCATTCAATTTTGATGAAAAATATAATTTGTATTCCTGACTTTTAAAATTTTTTTTACATCTAAATTTAGCACTCTCTTATTTTAACAGGTAGGTCACCTACAGGGAAAAAATAATAATTGTATGGTTACACCACACATTTTTATTTAGTAAACGCTGCAACCTACTTTTAGCCGCGCGTCGCGTGTATAAATTCACTTAATTAATTGCAATCTCACAATCGGCAGTACGTCAACAACCGTCCTTCTAAACCCCAAGGAAAGATTTGCCACTCTAACTTTATAACTATTTTAGTTTTATTAAACTTTAAACTATGGTGATCTTTTCCTTTTGGCGTACTCAGTAACTAACTACAACTCTACGTCTTGAAAGTGTGTGGCCTTACAAACCATACAATAATGTTTATCAAAATAAATCGATTAAACAGTGTAATATCATTAAATAAGTTTTTCTAACAATTATTTATTATGCGAAATGAATTCCTTCAGAATTAAAGGCGTGTAACAGTTTCATGAAGTCATCACAGTCCATTGTTCTTGCTCTCATTTGATCAGCTTCTGCAGAAAGTAATATTTCTTGGACTTTTTGTTTTATGTCAAACTCTTCGGGTATTTCCTGTAAACAAAAAAAAAGGTGTGCAGTTTACACGCGGTAGAAGTGAAACCATAAAATGAAAAGAAATATAAAATATCTTATTTAATAAGATAATTTTATAGCAAATAACTGTTAAAATCTATATTTTAGACTAAATTTTAGTGTATAAATTGAAAGAATATTTTCTTACGAGCAAAATTGCTTTGTAATAGCGCCATCTACTTCATTTTATAGCTAGTCATTTTATCAAACAAAAATTGACTGACTCTCAAGGTGGTACGTAAAATAGGCGGTAGATGGCCTGAAGTTATGAAATCGTGGACTGTTATGAATGGATGATTTTATTCAATCTGGATCATTTTATTAATTCAATATATTTGTTAATTTTTTATATTGATTATTTTAACAGTTAATATTTATATTAACCATCTTTAAAGCATTTTAGAAAGCGGAGACCGAGATAATAGTAAACACTGTATTTTTTATTTATTTATTTTATAATCTTTATTGCACACCATACATAAATTACAGAAATTATATATATAAAAGAAGTATTCAATGGGCGATCTTATTGCTGACAGCAATTTTTTCCAGACAACCAATAAATGGACAGGATTGCACGAATATGACAAGGGCAGGGCAAATTGGTGTGATAGAGAAAAAAAAGAGGTAAAAAAGAATAAATAAATAAATATTATATATATTTTGTGGAAGTGTTAATCTTGAACATATATTTGGAAACACTGTTGTTTTCAAAAATGTTTTTATAATGTCGTTTCCAAGAATGCTAAAGTTCCATCCATTACCATATAGTAACATGGGCCACTGGCGGACCGGAGGGTAATAGCCATACGTAGGTGTTCCACTCTTGTCAAAGTATAGTGCCACCAACTTATCTGTTCAGGTGGATAAAATTGGAACTAAGGCCTCCATTTTATAATAAATGACATTTCGCTGTCAGATGAGTGCTTTATTTGATTTCTTTGTGAAAAGTGCAAATATTAAAATCTCCAAATAATCTACTTGTGACATAATATATTAGCGGGTACATCTTCCGCAACAGGAATTCCTGAAGTTCGGCCGCTTTAACTGCAAGATCATGAATACAATTACTCTTATAAAACATATAATACCACGTTAACACGAGATTTGTTTTATTTCTTAGTTATAATACTTTAATTGTTAAATGGTTAAGAAAAATATCGTGAGGAAACTTGCATGCCTGAGAGTTCTCAAGTTGGCGGTGTTTCATTCCCGTGTCTCAGAAAACATAAGGCTGTTTGTCCTCACGGAAAATAAAAAACAAGAGGAAGTCCAAAGTGGGCGGGGGCAGGCGTGTTACAATTAGTGACAATCTGACAGTACAGGCAGCGTAATTGACTGTCAGTCGCAGGCTCATATTGTGGCGAGCTGACGGATCGCTGCCTATGTATGCGAAAATATACAGTTTTGTGCAATATTGGAGTGTAAAAACGAAAGTAAAACTGAACATGGAAAAAATGTCAAATTGCCTATAATACAAGTAATATTCAACCTTATTTCATTGAAATAAGGTTCATCTATAAATACATTTTGAATAAAAATAGCTACGATAGTGTTGTGACTACGCCGATATTAAAGTTTTCGATAAAATTTTATCAGTCCTGTTAATTCACTAACATATTAATGAAAATGTGCAAATACTGGATGTCTATGTAAATATACGAAATTATAGGTTGATACTCTATGAATGAACTTTTGTTAGGGTTGCTAAGCCAGAGAAGTAAGTAGTAGTAGACAATAAACAATTGCAAAATAATTATTTTTTATTATGTTCATTGTTTCCATTTCATAAATGATAATTTAGCTAACAGTCAATAAATTTCCATTAAGGACAATCCATTATATCGAGCCAGTTTCCAATAAATTATGCTATTTTACTCATTTTATCATATACTATCTGTGTCCCGCGGTTTCACCCGCGTATATCACGCGTCTGTGCCACGCGACATGACATGACACTCATTTTAGCTAAAAAAATAACAAAATTGCGACGCGTATTCTCTGACTTGCAAGACGATTTTCAGTTTCTAATGAAGATTTTTAATGCCCTCGCCTGGGAACTATTTCTGGAAAGTTTAGATCTTGATTTTTGGGCATTTTTCATTATTTAATCATCAGCATGTAAAAACAAAATTATAAAAAAAAGTGCCCTAGTGCTAAATTATTTGCTCAACTGTTTAACAGGAATTACCTATATAAAAATGTAACTGAAAAATTATAAGAACTACTAAGTTACTAAGCTGTTTGGATAGTTAAATGTACAATATTTATTTATCAGTTAGTGCCTACTGAATATAACATAAAAAATGGGTTTAGTCCTGAAAATAACTTTTGTTTGGTTTAAAAAATAACTTTTCAGTTGGGTTTGAATTTAATCAAAACCTATTAAATGAATTTAAAGCGAATTAAAATTATTGGATTGCGCACACAACCGCTGCGTAGGGGGGCCGACCCCCATAGAGTTGAGTAATATACCGACCCCGCGAGTGGGCCGCGCGGCAATTTATTTTTTGACATGGACTCCCCTCCCGCACCTCAGTGACACCCGCATCGCATCGCACCGATATAAGGATTTTTCGGCGTTACTATTGAATATTTTAACATGGAAAAGTAGTTATTGTGAAATAACTGTAATAGACATATGGTATCGCGGACTTTTTTGTAGATTGATGTCTTCTATAAAACTGTAGTACATCACTTTGCTCTATTCTCAACAGTTTCCGCAGCGTACGCGATATAAGGATTTTTTTGGTATTTTTTTCACACCTTGGGTTACATTAACGAAGTTTTCATACGGATACCTAACTTTTTTGAAAACATTCTATCGCCTATGTTCATCAGAAATAATGTATAATTCTAATGGTGAAAGAATTTTTCCAATCAGTCCAGTAATTTCGGAGCCTATTCAATTCAAACAAACAAACAAATCTTTCCTCTTTATAATATTAGTGTAGATGTAGATGTAGAAGTGTAGATATGTTTTTTTTTTCAATTCAGTTTCTTCAGGTAATTCAATTCATGTAAATGATCTGGCTTTTATTAATATTCAGTATATGATATTCTGAAAATCAATAAAAGCCAGATCACGTTCAGAGAGAGTAAGTAACTACCTCACTAACATCATTTACGTAGCAGTACAGGTTAGGCAGGGCAACGTTAACGTTATATCTATTAGCATTGTGTCTATAATAGTGTAAATGTATTATTGCGACATCTAGCGTCACGTAACATTTTTTTTCGTCAATCTTAGAAGCTTTTTGGGTTAAGACAATGATATTTATTATTAAGAATTTGTGGTGCGTTTTCAAATAATCGCGGTATTATTGCGACATCTAACGTTTAGAAGCTAAATTTGCTCATTAATTCTAGAAACTATGTTGATGAAAAGTAATATAATCTTTATTTTTAAGTATTTATGGTTCGTATTCAAGTGAATGGTGAGTAACATAATGCCTTTCTCTTTTATTTTTTAATAGCCAATCACGCGAAAATTATTGAAATGGTACACACACGGGCAGTAATCTTCATAGTAAACGTAGTGATTATATTCTCTTTGCTTCATAGAGAAAATATTGGACAGGAAATGTCATAGCAAAATGATATGACAGTTAACACCCCCCCCCCCTCGCCCCTCGACATCTAGTAGATTCTACACGAATCTTCTAAGTACAGACTAACTAGGAGATCGGTGGCAGCTCGCAGCCATTTCGGGTAGAATCTACATATTTATTTATCTATTAGTCTGTGGCAGCCATATTGCTTTTTTGTCCGTAATCATAGTGTCACTGTGTGACATTACTGATTTACTGATAAAAAATTCCGTTTGGTTGCGTTTATTTATTTCCGCCCTTAGTTTGCATTTACTTGTATTTTATATCTCTCTATATGTATTGTAAGTGTTGTGTACCAGGTTGTACAAGTTAGCGACAGGACGCTATTTTACACAAATTTCCCCCCAATGAGAAAATGCTCAAGAAGTAGCTTGAATTGATTTCTTGTGATTTGTTACAGAAGAAAAGTGTTAGTGATCTTGCCCACCTGCAAGTCTGTCACAAACATTTTGAATCTCGTTTTGTTACTGGAAAAATCACATATTTTAAAGATAGGTTATACAACGCTGTTCCTGGAATCTGAGATCAGCACTGGCATTCCACGAAACCGTTCGGAGGGAATTCGTAAGTTGATATTATTTTAATTAATAGCTTTTCTATACAAAATAAAACTATGCTATGTATGTACTATGAACTTTAATTTTTGTTTTGAAATTTCACAAAATCTGTTCTTTTTTACTAGAAAATGTGAATGCTCTTGATGACCATCAGCATGCGATGAAAAGGCATTATGACCACACCTATTTTAAAACAGAAGTGTTAGAATCATACCCACACATGATGCCAATAAACAACACAGGTAATTTGCTTAAAAAACCATTAATTTTTTTAGTTGTTGCCTCAACAAGCTACACTCTACAAAGCCGCTCTTGTTTTCATATAAACAATAGTTTCATTTAACTTCATTATACTATGGTCAAGAAGAAGTCTGCGTTTGAACGATACGGAGCCCTGCATAAAGCTCCCACTTCGTTTAATGGTCAAACGAGTAACGGATCCCATTTCGTTTAATGGTCCTTCGAGCCGGATCCCTGCAACAAGCCTGAAGCAAGAAGTTAACATCTCTCCGCGTCAAGAAAGCAAGAAGTTTCCATTTCTCCACGTCGGAAAACAAGAAAGAAACAAGAACGCACGAGTGTTAGTTAGCGGTAGGAGTCCAGCCAGACCCGTTAGGTAGGTAGGGTAGAAACTCTAAGTGAAAGTGATAAAGTGAAAGTGTTATATTTAAGTAATTAGTAGGATTAGGGACCCTCGCGCGCAATGGTAAACACACGTGTATTACGTTCAGGCAAATCCACGCCTACCACAGACGCCACGCCGGCGTCGGGGCAGACGAGTTCAACAGAAACAAGTACGTGAAGTAAGGGC